TTTCATCAGGCTTGTAATGACTGCAGCTCACCAGACAGCTTGGCCACAACCTCCCTGCTAAATCCTTGAGCCAGATCAACCCTCCTGTATTCTGGGTTTTCAGAAAATATGAGAAAATAAATATCTCTTATTTTAAAACTTCTACATCTGGGGAGAGTTTTTATGCAGGGTCAGAAAACCAATATAACCCTTTAAAGTCATGCATGTATATAAGCTGATAATTATTGAGAATTTATTTTATTCCACATAGTGTTCTAACCGCTTCACATGAACCAAGTTCACAAGAACTCTGAATTTCTATTATTGTTATTTTAATTGCGGAGATAATAAAACAAGGAGTAGGGGAAAGAGGCAAAGTACCTTCTCTAAGGTGGAATTGGCAAGTGCTCTCGGAAGGACTTTGACCCAGGCTCAACTTTCAGAGCCTCCTCTTAGGAGGTTACTGTCAGGCTAAAGGTCAGCGCGAGGCACATCTCAAAGCTTAACCAGGGCTGCGAATGGGTTTCCAAATTCAGTTGCTCAGGTGTCAGCAAGCCTCAGCTCCTGGCTTGCTCTGAGCTGCAGCTCTCTCTCCTCACTGTGGGAAGTTAGTGCCCGTGAGGCCGTCCTACAAGAACTTCTCTTTCTTCTCCAGCATCATATTCAGAATATTTTTCTATGCAACTAAACATATTTCTCACGATCATTTTTTAAAGGATTTTGGATGCAAACTGCCAACTTGAAAAGGCAGGAATACTTTAGGCAAATCAGCTAAAATATAGTGAATGACTCCTATTTTATCTTTTTTTAATGTATGCATGAAAACTCAGAAATTTCATTCATCATTATAGCTGGTGGTTTCCGTCAGTACTATTAAGAAATGAAACTTGTATTTTTACTATACAGCAGTGATTTTCACCTACACCTCATTACAGTATGTTAATATCTAACTTCTTTGTAGTTACAAGAGCAAACAATTATAAAACTTGAAATTCTACAAAAGCAATTTATTTACTTATTTTACTGGGAGTTGACTGACTCTATGGCCTTACATATGCTAGGCAAGCACCTATCCTGAGCTAGATCTACTATCAGCCCCTACTTCTTTCTTTAGTGCTACATGTAAAAATATGAACTTTAACGTAAGTTATTTACTAGTGTAACAAAGGAAAATGTTTTCAGCAATTGAAAAAGCATTACTACCTACCTGAATTATTATGGCCCTATTTGTGTAAGGTGTTAGGGTAGCAGGAAAATCCCTTCCATCTTTGAATTTCACAGGAAGATGTTCTACTTAAGGGATCATTATTATTTGTTTATGGAAAGAACGTGCTGTCGCTGTTGGTTCTACACAACATGGTGCATATGAAATTGGCTTAAAAGAGCCCCATGCTAGTTGTCATTACAAACACAAATCCTACTCCTTGGGGAAAAGAAATTCTATAAGATGAGCACCTTCAAAGGCAGGAGATCACTTTAGAGAAGATTAAACCCAGCAGGGAGGACTCTAAAAAGAGCTAAAACTTGAAAATGTTGAAAATGCAGCGCAGCTATTGAAGAGGAAGAACTGATTCTAAATGAAGCAAATTCTCTATGTTATGTGTTAAAAATGTCCTGTTATATCTTTTTCGTTTTAGGCTATAAGAGGGTATATAACTTTATAGAATTTCTGAGTATATCATTCCCTGGCATTCCCTAAACTATTTGTCTTGCTCTCTTTTCTCCTGAAGTATACTAATGACTTTTTATATGTTTTCCACAAATATGTGCATGAAATAAAAAAATGTGTTTTTCTTGAAGGATACTGTAAGTCTTCAATGAGTTTTTTGTTTAGCATAATTTCCTAAATCTTTTTAGTAGGATATTCTGTAGGGTTGGATTATGCCTTGTGTAGTGTATTTTTCCAAAATCAAGTTATTAATTAAATCAATTTGTAAAATACAAGCCAGAGAGTTAGTTTAGGAAATTTTTATGGGCTTTGAATCTCCATTGCCCCAGATATATTGTAGGGCTTTATCTGCCTTTCTAACTCTGCTTTTAAAACACTGGATATGGTTGGACCCAGCACCAGCTGACTGAGCCATGTGCTCTGTTGTTAGGAATGACATCCTCAGTAAATTGGCTTAGGCAATTAGCAACAGTTGAGGTAAGACTTTTTTCTGTTTAGAAGCTGGAGCTTTCAGCTATTGAGTTTTTCTTTTAAAAATAAAAAAAACCCAACAACACAATTAGCATGGACTTTACAGAACCAAGTGCAAAATACTTCATTTATTCAGCCGGTGTGTTACAGGAAGTCCCATATATACAATAGACACTTCCATGTAAAAATAAAAGTTTTTTCAAAGCTGATCTCGGGCTTAAGGCTCATTTTAGCACCTTTGTCATTTTAATTAGGTTAAAATACATGGTCTCAATGACTCTGAATTATTAATTTAAGAGTAAACATGTCCTCCCAAACAACACTTGAGGGGCTGCTCCTAAAACGGGGCGCTTATGCATGATGAAGAGGACAGCATCATTAAAATAGCATTCTGCACATTAAATCTTTGTATGTTTTTATATAATAATAATAATGCATGAATTATTCTTTTTCAGAAAGAGTTGGTTATAAGAATACATGAATGATTCTTTTCTTTTTTCAAAACTAGATAAGGGCTGGAAGTTCGGCTCAGTGATAGGGCACCTTTCTGGTCCACCTAAAGCCCTGTCCTTAGCACGGAAAGCCAACCAACCAAGCAGCCAGCTAGTCAAGCAAACAAAGCTCAGAGAAAGCCCTTGAAAGCACTATTTTCAAACGCAATAGGAAGTTAGTGTTGTCTTTAGGCACAGAATTTATATTACCAACAATTCCAGTTAATAGTTGATACTTTCCAAAAGAGCACTAATCGGTGGCTCTACTAATTTTTTCATTTTGCAAGGGTTTAAAATCCCTGTCTGTATTAGCCAGTTTCCAAAAAACATGGTACAAGCTTAGCGGGAGACTCCGGGCAAAGCTTTTCCTCCTGTGTGGCCAGGGCAGGAGAGACTGCTGCAGCACAGACCGGCAGCTTGCTCTTGGCAAAACCAGATGCACACAGGGACTATCTGTCTCTTTGAATTATCAGATGTCTCTTCACTGCTTCCTGGGCTTTGGGTTTATAGTGGATGCTTCTTATTTGCTGGATGACAACTTCCTAAGCAATCCTTAGTCCCCAGCATTCTGAGGAACAGATATGGACTTTTTCATAGCACCTTGATGTTCATTTCCTTTGTTTGCTTTCTTTTTTTCCCCCATTCTACTTATTTGACCTGTTCTGCAAATTAATTCAAAAGTCTGAGACATAAAAGGACCCGTTATTCATCTTCTTGAAACCATTATTCTCTGTCTTCTGGTACTCGGAGAGTCTGAGGACTCTTCACTAAGAAAAGTGCTTTACTTGGTGTGATCTTTATGTTGTAGGATGGGTGCATTTTCTTTCAGCTATATGTATGCCATCGTCTGAATTTTTCTCCAAAGCACAGTTCTTCTGGGAACTTACGACTAATTTACTCATGATGGACATTTCCTGTCAAACAAAGTTTAAAATTAAATGCAGTTAGAAAGGAAATGACACAGTTGCAAGACAGATGGGGGAGTGGGAGACAGCCTCCATCCAGGTTCTGCAACTTGCCCCCATGTGTTTGGTCTCATCTGAACATTAACATGGATTACATGTATATAAATTAATATACTACAT